CCATAACATCTAATCTTGCAATATAAAAGACAATTTGTGTTGCAAAAATAAATCACAATGTTATACAATAAAATATTGATATCACTCTTGTTGAAAATCTCCTAAGTTTATTCCTAAGATTTTTTTATATTATACAAAAAACTGTCTTGATATCAAATCATAGATAAAAATAGTATTCAAGTCATTTGCATGAAGGTTTTTCCACTACACTAAAGTATAGCAATTCATTATCCAAATGAACGGCAGTGACACTCTATTTAGTCAAACACAGAAAAGGAGTGTTCGTAGACATTCTCATTTCCTTCTGAATAGTAAATTGAACAGAAAGACTTCACATTGTTCCTTTTGGTCCCTCATACTACTTCTATTATTAAATGTGAGCCTAACATCATCATCATCATCATCATCATCATCATCATCATCATCATTATCATCCTTAATAAAAGAAAAAAAAAAAATTCTGGTTTCAATTAATATCAAAATTAATTAATTAATTAATTAATTAATCTCACTTGTAAAAGATATGCATGAAAATCATTTATAGTAATGTTTCTATGCTATTATTCTAAATTTTGCTTTATATTTGTACTACTTCCTACCTACAAAATTATAAGGAAAAAAATATTTATTTATACATCATTCAAAAGGTAGCTTTATATTTCTACCTTGGCAACATTTACAAAGATTTTCAATTCTGCAGACCTTGCAACATTTCTTACTGGGAAATGAATTAAGTGCGATACAACATCCAAGATTACATATGACAAAACAAAACACCTCATTATCCAGATACATACATTAAATGATCGTCAGTATAATTGAAACTATGTAATATTCTAAATGCAATGACAAATACCATATTCTTTGGCTAAAGAACATATGACAAGGTGTATGTCTCTACAAAAGTGCAAACAAACATTACAAATTGCATTTTCTGTTCTTATTATATATGAGCAGAACTTTTACAAAACTAAGGTGTTTTGTAACATAACTTTTTTTGTTGATTTGCAAAGATCTGTAAATCAAATAGAGTCATAAATGACCAGAAAAAATGTTGCAGTTAGCATGCTTATCAATATCTGTACCTTCTGACATGCTTTGTTGTGCACCGGTATCATTAGTAAATCTTATAAAAAAAAAAATGGCCACTGCACACATGGGTATGAGAATCGTTTACGGGGAAATTCAAGAATTCTGGAATATGAATTAATAATAAACAGATAATCATCACTAAAAATAAAGAGATAAATATCACTAACTTTTTTCTTATTAATTTTGATTTGGTTTCTTCTGCAAACATGTCCAATTTTCAAACATATTATGTTACAGTTTATTCCATTCCTTACTAAATAAATACAGCAGTATGTATCACTTTCATATAATGATTCTAGGCTCGCTTCAACGGATCAGATTTTTTCTAGAGATTCTTGAACTGAAGCAGCATTTTCAAGAAGCAAACTGAATTCTTGATGCTGTACAGGAAAAGAAAAGAAAATCAGCTTTAAAACAGTACATGACTTATATCTAGATCTACTAATTCAGTGCTAAAAATGTTTGAAAAAACAAAATAAAAGACAAAGAAGAAACCTCTATTCAACTGAGTATAGATGTCAGAACAGCGGTTAAGTGTTAAGCTTTATGGTTTTATCTGAAATCAAAGAGAATACTGCTTGTGGATTAAGAGGAAGTGTTGTGGGAAAAATCCACTTCTGAGTTGCAATATAAAACTAAACAGTTACATTAAAAAACAAGTCTTCGCAGGCTAATAGAAAATAACTTAAAATGACCTGCTCTAATGAAAGAATTTGTTTGTGCTGCTTTCTGAAAAGTACACTATAATTACATAACAACTACAGAACAAACAATAAACTGGAATGTTTAAGAAACCTATACAGAACTTTCAGCATTCCTTTAAAAAACTTTAACAACCAAAACTACAACAAGTAATGCAAGTAATGCAACCAAAAACAAGACAAAATCACATGCAAGATAAAAGAGTAAAAGCAGGAAATTTATCCTGTAATATGGATCCTAGACAGCACACCCGCTGCTAAGACACTTCATAAACATCAAAATATTCTAGTAACAATTGAATGTCCCAACCAGCCGTTGTTGTGAAATTAAAAATGCTTAGTTGTTCTCAAACATAAGATTCATACATTTTATTCCCCAATGATTAATCTTACCTTGACACCTCGAATTGTCTCCCTCATCTTCTTTTCTTGTCTTTCTTGATCTAAAGTTGTCTGTACTGCTTCCAGTTGTGCCTTGAATTTTTAATTTTCTAAAGTCAATTGCTATCCTCCATCAACATAATGAAAGTTGAAAGTATGTCAAGTGAATCACTCAAAACTTTTGTCATTCTATCAATATTCAATTACAAATTCAAGATCTAATAGTGAAACCTACCTGCAAGCGCAAACATTTTTCCTGCATGCGTGTAGCATTCAGCCTTTCTTGTCGTGCTTCTTCACGAGCCCTTCTTGCTGAATCCTGTGCTTCTGATGATAGTCCCAACTGATTTTTCTTTGTAGCATCTAATTCTGCAGTCAGTATGTGATTCTCCTAAGATTAAGAGAGAGCAAGTGAGACAGAGTCAGAAAGAGAGAGAGAATAAAACCATTAGATGCATCTTGTATATCTTGTTCTCTATTTTTAGTCAGTTACAAAAACAGGAAAAAAAAGAAAAAGAAATTTCAGGAGACAATATATCCCTTTCCTCTAGTAACACCAAAATTTCATGCCCAGGCAACATTCCAGCCAAGTTGCATCTCACCATTGCAAGAGAGGACACTTCATCTTGAAGCCACTGTGAGGAGTGGTCAATGGATTTCAAATGTTCTGTTCTCTGCTGAAGAAGGCGACCTACTTCCGTTGTCACATTTCCAATAGCTGCGCTGACTTCAAGTCCTGAGAGTAATGATGTCAGCTGTTCTTCGAGACTTGATACTTTCCCTGTCAGTTCTTCAAGTTCTGCAAAAGAATAAATAAAAGCTTAAGTGACCAGTTATTTTATTTTTTATTTTTTTATAAGAAACACACTGAGCCTACAAAAACCAGCACAGAGATCTGAATGTATAATGTTCTAATTTATTAGAATACAATATACCATATGATATTTGCATCACACTAACCTTGATTTTTGCTGGTAATCTGGCTAGATACAGACTCTTGCAAGCTGCGTATAGCAAGATCCTTCTCACGTAGCATTGCATGAAGTTGTTCCTCTCTCATCTGTCCATCACCAACATCCTTCACCAAAGACTATTTGGGAATTAAAAGAACCATTAATCAGCAAAATAAAGTCTATTAAGCAGAACAGATTGAAAAGAAAGTTTGTAATACTTTGACTGTTTGTATCTTAGGATCAACTGACCTGCACGTGGTCAACAGTATCAGCTCTTAAGCTTGAGGAAAAGAGGCTGATGCAGCTTCCGTATTCTGAACTGGAGTCTCTGGAGGAAGATGCACCAGTCCGGCTGTCATCAAAGCTCTTGCTTTTGTCGCCGCTACTGAATCTTTTCCTGCGCGTTAGGCTCCAAATACGTTCTTGCAGGTTTTGAATCTACATTGGAAATATTACATTCTATGTGATTTATATTCAAGCCTCATTTTGTGCACAAAGTATCATATTTGTCTCAAAGAAACGACAAGTAACACTGTACTGTACTTTAAGATATTACTATATAACTGGTAATTACTGTATCATATAACATATCCAATGCTTGAATTTACAGTACTCAGACCTTCTTATTAGCATCACTGTTCTCCTCTGCCAGAGCTGCTGACCGATGCCTTTCCATCTGCATCTCCGTCCGCAGCTGCAGAAACTTAAAATCAGCTGACCGTATCTGTCGCTCCAGGTCACATTTCACAGCCATGCTATTATCCACCTGGATTGATGAAAAAGAGATCACAAAATTGAAGAGAAGTTTTTGCAAGATACTGCATCAGAATTTAAGGCAACCATCTGTTTGCAAAATGAAAACTGTCACCATCCTTGCTTACTTTGTCCTGCAAGACCTTCAGAGTTTCAGCATGCTCGACTTTGAGGTTTCGGACATCAGACCTTAATGCTGATGCTTCCTCTTGCACTTTCTCATGTTTTTCTTGTTCCGCATGCAGTTGAGTCTCTCTGTACAAAGAAGATTAAATCCTATAGTCTGCACAAATTCAACTTTTATTCTACGTCTTGTCCTAATTTTGACACCACTGCTATTTTTTCAAATAGTAAATATTACTACCCTAATACTTAAATACTGTAACATACACTATAAAGTTCATGAATATTTCTCACACTGCCTGTAGCTACATATGTTTATTCTCTGCTTGCTGTTTCCTCTTTACAAATAGTGATTATAAACTTTAGAAATCATACTGACTTTAATGAGACAAATAAAACAGATTACAAATGACCAAAATAAAAAAATAATATGAAAGAAATTGATGCCATTAAAAAAAACATAAAAAAAACTATTAAAGATATGAAAGCTGATATCCTCCCTATTATTTATATTTCAATAATCAAAACTGACATACAATTTTTTCCCATTCTATTGAAACAAATCTCAAACTTACAGATCTACAACCCTCTTTGAAAGGCTCTGCTTTTCAGCCACGGTCGAATCGAACTGCAAGCGTAACTGCTCTATTTCTGCTTGCTGGTGCTTCAGAGTTGATCTCAACCCTTCAACCAAAAGTCCATTCTCCTCCTGGATAAAATTTCATCCATTTTCAGGCAAGATTAAGAATTTTTATGTGCTATATCAGAAAACATTATTTATAGATTCAAGACAGTTATATCTGTTTATCTTGTTAATTAATGTAGTTGCAATAATGATGAGAAAAAATACAAATATACACTTACATCTACCAGTTTGACCTGATCTGCCTTGAGGCTGAGCTGATTCCGAAGCTCATTTATTGTCGATTCGTCTGCTTGATTCTTTTTAAGAGCATTATGGAGACCGTGTTCCAGTTCACTTACTCTAGAAAAGCCAGTTCTTAATGCCACAATCATAAGCTTGTATAAAGTATTTTGTGAAAGTATCCATATTTCTGATATAAACATACATCAGTGGTTTTATATATTTCTAAAAAAAAAATTGGATAGTTTCCTAGCTACAGCAACTCTTGAAAGAACCAATTTTTTTTTGCTGAAGTAATAAAAGTTGTATATACCACTGTTTTAACAAACAATAAAAGGGTAGACTCATTGCAATCCCATTTAACCAAGTGAAATATCACACTAATATCTGAGGAGGAAATTAAAACCAATAAATAATTACGTACAAAGAAAGATCTACTACAGGAATCCTCACTACCTAAGATTACCGACCTTGAGTCCATCGTTCGCTGAAGCTCGGAAACTTGGTGCTGAAGTCTTTGTCTTGTCCCCTCGTGCTCAGCTGTCTGTTTCTTAATGAGCTCACTTAAGCGTGCTCTCTCCGTGCTGAAACATCAAATTCATCTGATATTTACCGCATACATGATCATTCAAGAATTTCGCAGAGATTTCATCTTCAATATGCAAACTATACCCAAACACTTCATACAACTTTGGTATAAAAACATTAGCAATAAAAGTGACATCCTAGTTTTAAAATAAGTCTCTAATCTCGCTCAAGAAAAAGGCGATGTGGAGCATTACTGCGAGTCATTCAGGCTCTCCTCCGCTTGCGCCAGGCATTGCTTCAGGGAGGTGTAGTCCCGGCTGTTGTGTTCCTTAAGGCGCAGAAGTTCAAGATCTGAAGTTCTCATTCTAGGAATCAGGCAAGGAAAAAGATGAAGAAACAATGTATTTTGGTGAATGAAAAGATCACAAACAAAATTCATTTACAGTTTTCCACATATTGCTGATCAAAGCACACCCAAATCATAATAGTCTTTGTTATGCATACATTAATGGTATACATGCATGCATATACATATCTATATACACATCCATATGTGTGTGTGTGTGTGTGTGTGTGTGTGTGTGTGTGTGTGTGTGTGTGTGTGTGTGTGTGTGTGTGTGTGTGTGTGTGTGTGTGTGTGTGTGTGTGTGTGTGTGTCTATGTGTATATGTATGTATGTATTTTTTTCTTTTCTTTTCTTTTTTTTTCTTATGTGAAAATGATAGTGGTGGTTGCCCTTTTCATTAAAATGTATTCATACAAAATTATGATATTTCATATCTTTCTCTCTGATGATTAACATCTGATGATTAAACTTATTTGGAATATAATTAAAAGGATATTTTGTGTCTTAACATATGTCATAGTCTAAGAAACCTGATCATATGAAGATCTAAAACTAACAAAAAACATATTGATTAATAAGTATAATGGTACATGCTTTAAAATGGCCAAAAGTGGATCCTCCTCCATTCCTTCCCTTTAATAATATAGTTATATTAACTAGTTATATGGGCCAATGACATTATAAACTAAAACATATTGTTTATTAATATTCAGACACAACTGTACTTTTTGGAATACTAACCTTGCTTCTTTCTGGAGGACAGCCTCTCTCAGGGAGTCTATCTCATGGGCGCACCGCTGGAGCTCCTCTTCCAGACTGCGTGAGCGTGACGTTTTCCTTTTGAGTTCTCCAAGCAAGAGAGTCATTGCTGACGTAATATCTTCTAAGGTCCGCAAGGTGCTTCGTCTTGAGAGTTCAAAGATCAAAATAAGTTTATTATTATATTTCTCTGCTGTAACTGGTCTTATGCTGTAAAAACAGATATCGTTTTTGTAGAGTACCTTCATACTGTAGTATGTACAGAATTATAAAGTTGATTTTAAAGTTCTCTCTACCTTCTTGGAGAAGTGATGGCCATGAAATGCTCTAAGCCACTTGTTGAAAGTCCCTCTTCAACTTGTTGCAACAACTGCATGACACACTGATCCGTTCGAGCTGCATCCTCCTCCTGCTCTATTAGACGAGCTTCCACACCCTGCATCTGTTATGACAGTTGACAATATCAATCAATCTGAAACTATTTAACTTCCACAATAAATCAATACACACTTTTGATGGGAAATTCTCTCATTTCTTATTCTAGTACCTAATGGACAGAACAGCCATTAAACTGTTAGAGTACATAATTTTCTGTCTTTTCTGTCTTACATTTTATATAAAATATACTGTACACTCATGTATAACAAATGCCTATATTATCCTAAAGGGGTTTAAAAGGGAATTCATTATCTCATATCATTTACATCATCAATCTACCCGGTGGCACAGCTAGGAGCCGAAGTGGGATAGAATATTTCTTTATGTGGGCTACTATATGTATGCTTACAGAATTTCCAATAAAAAAAAAAATAAATAAATAAAATAAAGAGGAACATCGATGGGGGAGGGAACCTTTGGGTCCTCATGCTGTTATGCCTCAAAAAATAATGTGTGAAATGTACAGTCCCTGTGATGATAACTGTGGATTGTTATTTGTGTCCCCTATGCTACATCTTTAACTGAAATATCTGCATATACATGAACAATGCAATGAGACTGAAGAGAGGCAGAGAAGAAATAGACATATGTTAATTACTTCTTCTTTTTTGGGGGGTATATTTCCAACTCTGACATATACTGTAAGTCCACAAACTACAAAATGATTAAACTATGAATCATTGCTGTTTAAAAATGCCATCATTTAAACTATCAACTCATCAAATAATATCAAACTGTTTACAACACATAAACATAAGGCCGCACATTTATTATGATAACAAAATATTCCAGTTACCTTTTTCTAAAATAAAACTCAGTTTTTGATACAATAATTCCCAAAAACGTCCGAAAACAGAACACACTGACACATCTATGAGCTCTAATTGCCTTGCCTGAGACACGACTCCCTGTAGCTGGACTGCTGCCGAGTTAAGCCTGGCCTCCAAGGTAGAATGCTGGGCCTCATATTCCTCTAGCTCTTCAAGTGCGTTGTCAGCTACACAAGAGGTTTCTGTTTTCAGCTGCAGAGTCAACACCTGGCGCAACAGCCTTGAAACAGAAGATAATTTATCTACATTTTTAAAAAGCATGTGGTGCTATATGGTACAATTTCAATAAAGGGAAAAAACTAAGAAGAGAAAACATGTATTACTGTATATTGAATATCTTCAGGAGATTCAGCAGAAAAACCCTAATATTCTTTTGGAAGTGCTTCAATCCAATTTATAAATATATAAAATATATTATATATATCATATATATTATATATATATATAAATATATGCATATATATACATATATACACACACACACACATACATATATATACATACATACATACATACATACATACATACATACATACATACATACATACATATATATATATATATATATATATATATATATATATATATATATATATATATATATATACATATACATACATAAATGTGTATATATATATATATATATATATATATATATATATATATATATATATATATATATATATATATATATATATATATATACATATACATACATACATGTGTGTATATATATATATATATATATATATATATATATATATATATATATATATATATATATATATATATATATATATACACATACATATATATATATATATATATATATATATATATATATATATATATATATATATATATATATATATATATATATATATGTATATATATACATACATATATATATATATAAATATATATATATATATATATATATATATATATATATATATATATATATATATATAAATATATATATATATATATATATATATATATATATATATATATATATATATATAAATATATATATATAAATATATATATATAATATATATATATAAATATATATATATATATATATAAATATATATATATAAATATATATATATAAATATATATATATATAATATATATATATAAATATATATATATAAATATATATATATAAATATATATATATAATATATATATATATAAATATATATATATAATATATATATAATATATATATATAAATATATATATATATAATATATATATATAAATATATATATATAAATATATATATATAAATATATATATATAAATATATATATATAAATATATATATATAAATATATATATATATATATATATATATATATATATAGTAAAGCAGACTTGCTTAAGAGAAGATACATACTATATAAAAAAGTCATAAAAAATATGAAGAAATATACTCATATCAAAAGTTAGCATAATCATCTTACCTCAGAACATGTGCAAGGCTGCTGGTTGAGTTGAGGGATAATTTCAATAGTTTACTGCACTCGTCATGCACGGCGGTTGATATCTCAACTGAGGTCCCACTCCTGAATAAGAGGGTAATATTAAATATTTTGTAAATGTTGAAAATGTCTATATTATGCTTTAGTAACGTCTCTCTCCAAAAAAAGAATTATAATTTTTTTGTATTTTTTTCTGATATTCTGTATCAAGAAATGTAAGATTCATCATTATAATTATGTACAAGAGAGACAATGAAAATCTGAACACGTCAGGAACATGATAAGGAATGAAATACATTGCTATGATACAAAATGCAGGTATGTATTATTTGTCTATTTAAATAGCCATTCCAAATAATCAATTAGCATTTATTGTAAAGAGTTTAGAAAAATCTAAAAAAAAATAAAAAACATTTATTTGCTTCAAAAAATAAAACCATTTAAAAACAAAAACTAAGAATTGTAATTTCAGAAAACGGTACGAATGAGATGTATTAGACCAGTCTTGACTATTTAAATCAAATACATCTCTTGTGCTGTGAAGATATTCATCCTCATTCATAACATTTTCTACACTTGTCAAAATGAACACAGTTCAAACTGTAACTTTCTTTTACATACAAAATTCTCAAGATATCAAAAGATATGTCTCTTAAAGGCATATACAACTACACTCTTAGATAACAGGATATATTACATCTAACAGATCAATCTAGAAAAAAAGAAACCTGCGTCATCTTTTTGTATTGTTTAGGTCATCCTATATACGCTAAAAGCTGTTATGAAAACTAATGGCATACACAAAATATCATTAAGGTTATGAAGATTTTTATCAATAACCAATGCTTTCCTCATACCACACCATTATCACTTTATTTTTCTATTTTAGTTCACTGTCATAACTATCAAAATACAGAGAAAGGCTTTAGAGAGGCTACTTATGCACTAAAGCAATAAGAGGTCAAAAAAATGTAAAGAAAAAAAAAGTTAAAGCAAGAATGAAAAAAAAAATAGTTATGACTGAAGTGACAAGACTTTTGTCAAGTAAATAAAACTACCTGGTTTGGTCCTTAGCGTCCTGGGAAGAAGAGCACAAATGAGATAAAATCTGGCTACGATTTCCAAGATGAAGTTTTGACAAATACCGAAAGACAACCCCTTGAAAGATTCCATTTGCAAAACAGATGCACTGATCATCAAACAAGACATATTTATGGTTATTTGAATTTGAGAAAAATAGCATCAATAATAATTGAGGCCATGCCTATTTATAAGTATTTTCAGACTAATTGCCCAGAAATGCTATTATCATATGTAGGCTAATGTTCATTTAAACTATCTATAACATAAGCATCGACATGTTCCTGTTAATGCGCTACAACCATGAGACTGTAGTGTATTAACATCAGCATATTAATACAAAAAAGTTTAAATAAACAAAACACATTATAAAATACATTTTTGGACAATTGGTCTGAAAACACCTTTGGATACAAAGCCCTCTATTCATTGTGATGTTTTCTTTAGTTATAAATTCACTTATTTAGTATGATACACATCAGAACCAATAGACATCAAGCCTGGGAAAGATATCAGTGCTCAAGACAAAGTTATTAACTAAATAAGAAACTCACCTAAAACACTCACGAAATGGGACACCATCACTATGGCCCCCTACTGATGGTCTTCCTTGAGGATTCTGAGATTCTTCGCTCGCAAACTCTCGTATCGAAGAATTACACACTTCTTTCACATCTTTGCTTACTCTTGTTCTCTCCTCATAGGCCTCTCTGTCATGATTCATGCTGCCCATGGAATCTAGAGATAATCTTGGTATGTCATCCACGTTCATTTTGCCTGCTGTCTCAAGGCTGGGTGTGAAGAAGTGATCTCTGGTCTGTGAATCTCGGCTGGTGCTGTGCGATGAATGACAGTGATTTCTTGGTATGTCGTTATTGAAGGAATACACGTGAGTGAACTTTCCATTTACTCCATTCGCAGCTTGTATATTGGATTCATGAAGAAAGCTTCCAGAAGTCAGAGCTTCATCAGCTCTGTTAGGTTCTTTATTGTTGCCAAAATATCCTGAATCAATATCCCCAACAAACTTTTGTGAATGGCTGTAATAGTTCTTTATATTGTTCAAGGGGGTGCTAAGTCCTAGCTCTTGTTGAGGGCCCTTTGGTGTGTTTTCCTTAGAAGCTGATATATCCCCTGAAGCATTAAAGTTTGACTGTTGAAGCTTTGCTCTTTCTAATGCCAGCAACTCTGCAGCTCGGATTAATGTCTCAATCTCATCCTCATCATCTGAAAAATAATATCCCAAACTTCAGTATACATAATGAAAATAGTGAAAAAAAGAAAGATAAACTTCCTTTTTATCACTAAAACAGGAAAATCAGAGGAATTATGTACAAAGAAGAAAACCACATTTACTTCTTGAAGAAGAATACCTTTAACTAGCAACCTCTGCAATGGCTCTTTTAACAACTGTTTCATAGATGATGATCATACTGTGCATTTCATAATTCTTCTCACCACATGACTAACCTGGTTTCACTCGCACTGTAGGAGGTTCATTGGAGAATAATTCGGCTGATGATGTTCCTCTGCTTTCAATCTCACTCTGGCACTCTGAGGCACTGCTCCACACACTGTCGCTATCTTGCTCAGCTTCCTGTTCATTCATTAAAGTCAGAAACTACATACCCAAAGAAATTTATATCTCTTGATGGTTATTGTGTTTACAATTTTCTCAATACTGTTGACGAGAAAAAAACAAAAACAGTCCATTCAAAGTCAAGACTGATAATGACCTTGCAGTTGCACTTACTGTACAGTCTGATGGAGGCTTTTTGATTAAGGATGATAATGTATTTTGCTCTGGATACTCATCAGCCATAATTACAAAGAGATTAATATTCCTGCATGGATCCAGTCTGCAGAGATGGAAAAAATAAAAATAATCATTACACAATTAAACTACCTATGTTTAACTTTGTAGAATTACAAATCCTTTACTTCCATTTATCTATTTTATGTAAATATGTGAAAAATTACACTTCATGATGTAAATCTATATGCACTAGCATATAGATTTACATCATGAAAAAAGAAAAACACAAAGTTAGTAATAACTTGCTAAATATTCCATCCTATGAGAGATATGGACTTAGCATTTACAGCATGAATATACAATTGGAAAAATACCTTCAGAAAGTAAAACACACTTCACTAAGGCAGCAGGTTTTAATTTTTCATCAGATATCAAAGAACATATTAACCAACCAAGGTATCTAAACCCTTTTGTAGCTGTTACTCTGGAAGTAAATAATAACTGATACAAAACAACAGCAGCTTTTTTTCTGCATAACTAGACAACTTATGTCCTACCCTAAATTAAACTTAAACTTAAAGTGATCTGTGAAGGAAGGATGGTCTAAAATACAATCTCAAACAATCATCATGGCCTCCATACTACTGATGCTCAAGCAAAGGCTAACAACCTTCATCTTGTATATCATGGTTAGATCAAGCTTGTAAAGTTTCCTAGTACTTTAGTTTCACATAAGGAACTACCCAAACTCTACCTTGGTATATACATAGCAGAAACTTGTTGACCTTTGCCTGAATGCCAAAACATGTGATTTAAAATCTTACCCTTGGATTATGCATTATCCTTAAAATTATGTATGAATTACTATCAAAGCTCATGCTAAATACTAATACCTGAATTGTTTTACTATTGCAATCGGTTTCTTTCAGCACACTTACCAGCATAGTGACTTTTTTGAGGAATGGAACTTAACTGTATATCCCACACACCCATTGAGTATAAAATCCTTATCCCTTTGACTACCTTAAACGAAACGAAACGAAAGTCCATCTATCTTTCACAGCTGATCTATTCCTCTCGATTTTTTTTTCTTCACATTTAAACACACCTCTAACCAACCTGACTTACAACTTTATAAACTTATAATCACACCTGCAACCTACGTCACTTACAAACTAAACCCTACCCATGCTAAATTGCCTCCGCCCTCCAGCGTGAAGGCCACCACAAGCACCACAAGCCAGGCACAAACAAGCCTCAGAGTGAGTCATGCGGGGAGAGAACACCTGCTCGGGAGAAAATCGATTTTTAATTCTCACAACAACTTACCTGGGGGTCTAGATGCCGATCGGACGGTCCATTAGCTTTATCGGTATTATTGGAGAAAAGCGTAAACATAAAATCCAGGGAAACTAACCTTACAGTCGTGAAGTTTTTTAATTTTCTAAACTTTTTTCTTAAATAATCTTATCTCGCAATCGAATCATAAACAAGCTATTTAATTTTCAAAATAATAAAAAAATATATATTAGTCTTGTTCTTTCCTCTTCGCGAGCTCAGGAAAAACTGATCAATTTCGCTACTGCGCATGCGCGGAGTCAATCGTACGTGTAGTATTCGTGTTATTTTTCCAGTGACGTCACGACTAGTGCCATCATTTGATTGGCTAAATGTTTGGCGGTTATTTTTTCCACGAATAGGGAAACAGGCGGAAACAAAGAATACGGAAGCAACCAATCAATGGACAATATTAAGAAAGAGCGGTTTCATCATCATCATTGGGGGGCTAACGCCGGTAGGGGCGCATAGCCGCGTCCACCCTTCGTTTCCACCTGCGAGGGTCTCTCATGGCGAGCCGCCAGGCAGGGGCCCGGCCCATCTCTAGTTCCTCACGACAGGTTTGATCGATCTGCCCAAGCCATGACCTTCTTGGTCGTCCCACAGGCCTCCTCCACCCAGGGTTGTCTCGAACAGAGACAACCTGATGGGCAGGATCATCCTGCGGGAGTCGAGCCAAGTGGCCATATAGCCTGAGTTGGCGATCACGGATTGTGCAAGTAACAGGTCCTGTACCGGTCTCACGGTGTAGCTGTTGGTTGGATACATGGTCCCGCCAACTGTACCCCATGATCCGGCGCAGGGATCTGTTACAAAAGGCATCGAGACGAGATTCCAAAGCACAAGATAGCGTCCAAGTTTCACTACCATATAGTAAAACTGGAAGTATCAGGGCCTTGAAAACTCGTAGCTTGGTCCTTCTGCACAGGTACCGGCATCTCCAAATACTCTTGTCGAGAGATTTCATGACCCCGGCTGCCAGGCCAATCCGTCTACTGACTTCCTGGTCTGACAGCCCAGAGTCATGAACTGCACTACCGAGGTATATAAAACTCCTAGTGACTTCGATGTTTTCACCGCAAGCACGGACCGACTGCACAGGGTCTCCTAGTAGGCCCCCAAAATCCTGGATCTTGGTCTTGGTCCAGGAGACCTCTAGCCCCAGGGGCTTCGCTTCATTGCTAAATGCATCAAGAGCCGCTACTAGGGTTTCCAGAGATTCAGAAAGAATGGCAACATCATCAGCAAAGTCAAGGTCTGTAACCTTGATATTGCCCAGAGTTGCTCCACAGTGACTTTGGACAGTAGCTCTACCCAGTATCCAATCCATGCAAGTGTTGAAAAGTGTTGGTGCAAGGACACAGCCTTGCCTCACGCCTGAGCTAACAGGAAAGAAGCTCGACAGGCCCCCACCACACTTTACAGCACTTTCAGTGCCTGTATACAAGTTTGCTATTAGCCCAACAATCCTTGATGGAATTCCTCTCAGTCTCAGGATCTCCCAGAGTGATTCGCGATGCACCGTGTCAAACGCCTTCTTGAGGTCGATGTAGGCTGCAAGCAGCCCACGTCCGAACTCACGACGGCGCTCTACAATGACTCGAAGCGCCAGGATGCGGTCTATTGTGGACTTACCAGGAGTGAATCCAGATTGCTCCGGTCTTTGGTGCCTCAGGAGGTGGTCTCTGATACGTCTCAGTAAGATGTGGGCGAGTACCTTGCCTGGCACACTGAGCAGTGTAATGCCTCGGTGATTGCTGCAGTCCCACCGATCCCCTTTCCCCTTCCAGAGAGGGATGACCATACCCCTCAGTAGGTCAGGGGGAATGGTACCGGTCTGCCAGATGGCAGACAGGACTGCATGCAAGCCCCTTGCCATAGGTTCTCCACCAGCCTTTAACAATTCAGCTGGGATGCCGCAGACACCTGCTGCTTTACCACTCTTCAGCTTGGAGATCGCCCCCCTGACTTCAGTCAGGGAAGGTGGATCCTCGCTGATGGGTGGGTCTGGCAGAGGAGTCTCAACATTCCCAGCATCCAAGTTAACTGTTGGTGGATCAACCTGATACAACTGCTCAAAATACTCAGCCCAACGCACACGCACCCCATCAGGATCTGAGATTACCTGACCACTCGCTGAGCGGACTGCCGTCGTCTGTGAGGAGGGCTTGGAGTTCAGCTTTCTCAGAGCTTGGTAGGCAGGACGAAGGTCATTTACTAGGAAACGGCTTTCGACCTCCTCTGCAAGATTACTGATATACTGTTCCTTATCCCTTCTCAGCAGTGACCTAGTCCTGCGCGCCAGAGAACGGTGCAAATTGCGATCCCCTGACAATCGAGCTGCACGGCAAGCTTCTGTGGCTTCCAGTGTCTCTTGCGAGATGGTATTCTGTCTTGCTCTAGGGCGTACACCAATGGATTCCTAAGCTGCATCAAGCGTTTCACGCTTGAAGGAATCCCACATAACAACAGGGTCTGTCAGGCCCTCGAGTGCTGTGAACCGACCAGAGATAGCCTCAGCAAACCCCCGGGCACACTCATCCTCCCTCAGTCTGTCCAGATGAAACACCCTGGGGTGCTCATTTGGTCGACGGGGGGTTTTAAAGTGGACCCGGAGAGTAGCCACAACTAATCTATGATCAGTTCCACAGAACTCGGCGCTTCGATACACCCTGCAGTTCTGGAGGATCCTCCACCGAGTGCTGACGAGGATGTGGTCGATCTCCTTGGCCACCCTACCCGTATCGCTGTACCAAGTCCAGCGATGCGGGTCAGAACGCTGATACCAGGAGCCAGAGATCCTCAATTTCTGGGACCTAGCAAAGTCACGGAAAAGGAGGCTATTCTCGCTGCCAGCATCAGCTCCTGAGCCATGGGGACCGACAGACATCTCGTAGCCAGCTCGATCACATCCGGATACCGCATTGAAGTCGCCCAAAACAATACGAATATCTCGCCGAGGACAACTGTCTGCCACAGATGCAAGTTTGGCGTAGAACATCTCTTTCACCTCAAGTTTATATACATCCGTAGGAGCGTACACAGCAATAAGAGACATGAAGCCAAATGACAGCTTCAGTCTCAATACCATTATACGCTCATCGACTGGAGTGACCTCTACTACCGAGGGTTGAAGTCGGCTGGAGATGGCTATGGCTACTCCCTGGAGATGGTGGCCATCGCTGCGGCCCGACCAGTAGTAAGTGTAGCCACCCACACTAATCGTGCCGCTGCCAGGTCTTCTCACCTCCGAGAGAGCAACCACCTCAACTCTCAGCCGCTTCAATTCCCTCGACAGTAGTGGTAACCGATCATCCTGTCGCAGGGAACGGACGTTCCAAGCCCCCACCCTAACAGCCCGCCTGAGGTTTAACCTCTGGCAGTCACTCCGGGTGGGCGCCACCTCTGCCACCCCCACCGACGCCGCCCCATATAGAGGTTGGCTGGCTGCAGGTCCCCTAATCCACCTGCAGGGCTCCCGGGGGCTTTCCCCCACAAGCATCACGCCAGGCTGGCGGCCGCTGGGACCCAGAGGGGATGAAGGGTAACCCCCCCTCCCCGCCTGAGTCCCAGCGGTCGCCAACCCAGAGGGACCCACAGCCTGCCGTTCTTGCTGGGTAGGAGGGGCTTTAGCCCTCCCCCCAGCACCAACTTCTTTATGTTTCGTTGCCAGTTTGGTTGTCTCGGAGGGGCAGACTGGCAAGGCCTGCCCCCCCACAGCCTCCCCTTAACCCCGGGGGGCACGGGGGCAGGAGTTGGTACGAAGCCAGGGCGTGTCCACACGCCGGTGGGCCATGACTCCGTACCTTTAGGGCCTCCTGCTGCTCCAAGAGCCTCCACAGTTCAGCCTAGGACCGCAAGGTACCTAGTTTCCATGGGTGGCCACGAGGAGGCACTGCAGAAGTCTTGATGATGGAGAGGCTATGAGCTGGCAGGGGAGTCTTATGCAAAGCTGCTCCCTTTTCGCACCAGGCTAGCCAGCGGTGGCAGCTGCAAGCGAGAAGGCATGCAAGCTCTTAACACTACTTAGGCTACCACACCATCGCTTCACATCACCCACGAGCATGAAGCACCCGGTTTGGTAAATTAAAATTCGAAGTCAGTCTCACCATGGCTTCGCTTTGTGATGGATGTTACAACAAGCCCATGAAACTTATCAAATTATATTTTGAAGATAACGAAGCTAGCTTGGAAGTTCTACGGAATCACGGTGTTCTTCCTTCGCAAGTACTTTGCAAGCATTGCAATTTACCGTGCACGCTTCGTGATGGAAGGTGGTTCTGCAGCCGCTGGACAAAAATTGCAAAAACTAAAAGGCGGAAGCAGTGCTCCTTCACTGTAAGTGACTATAAGGGGACATTCCTCGAAAATGCTCACGTCGCTCCCTCAGATCTGGTGGTTTTTATTGTGTTTTTTTTAGAAAAAATTTGGAACCACCACATTGTATTTGAAAACCTCGGTTGGGCAGAGAGAACCAGCGTTGACTGGCGTAGCTTCTGCTCAGAGGTTACACAGAACTGGCTTAATAATCAAGAAGCAATTGGAGGACCTGAGGTCGTCGTAGAAATTGACGAGTCCTGTTTTGGCAAGAGGAAGTACGGCCGCTGGAGGCAGCTGAGCAACATCTGGGTGTTCGGAGGAATTGAGAGGGAATCTAAGAAATCTTTCTTGGTTCCTTTGGTCCCTCCTCTTTCTCCCAACAGGAACAAGGAAACACTCGTTCCCTTGATTAAGAAATTTATTCTCCCTGGCTCCATCATTTGTAGCGACGGTTGGGGAGCGTACCTTGGTCTCGACGAGGAGGGATACACCCATCGAGTCATTAATCATTCGGAGGAGTTTGTGGATCCTGGTGACAGGTCAATTCACACGCAGAACATTGAGAGATTGTGGCGGGACGTTAAGGAGTGGGTGAAACGTCCTGGGAACCGGCCACAATACTTTCAACAGTATCTATCGCGGTATTTGTTCATCAAGAACACGAAGCACCTGAGGTTCCACAAATTCCTCACCGAAGCTGCTCGGCTGTACCCTCCCCAATCAGAGCGACGAAACGTCGCCCCTGCCGTCGCCCCTGCCTCAACGGACTCGGACCCCGACGACCCTCAACCTGGTCCCTCTTCTGCTTAGGTATGTTCGATAGTTTTATTTTAAATTCCCCCCAAAAATGTAATAGGTCTTTAAGTAAGGAAAATACTCGGGGTCTGGGGCGGAGCCCCGGCTGGGGAATACCCCGAACACCCGGGGTCCGGGGCGGAGCCCCGGCTGGGGAATACCCCGAACACTCGGGGTCCGGGGCGGAGCCCCGGCTGGGGAATACCCCCAACACTCGGGGTCCGGGTTAGGTTAGGTTAGGTTAACCTAACCCCAGCCGGGGTTAGGTTAGGAATACCCCCAAACACTCGGGGTCCGTTAGGTTAGGTTAACATTGCTTTTTTCTGGGGAGGTTAGGTTAGGTTTTATAGGTTTGTCTGCATGCCCCCCAATACCCGGGGTCCGGGGCGGAGCCCCGGCTGGGGAATACCCCCAACACTCGGGGTCCGGGGCGGAGCCCCGGCTGGGGAATGCCCCCAACACTCGGGGTCCGGGGCGGAGCCCCGGCTGGGGAATACCCCCAAACACTCGGGGTCCGTTAGGTTAGGTTAACATTGCTTCTTTCTGGGGAGGTTAGGTTAGGTTTTATAGGTTTGTCTGCATGCCCCCCAATACCCGGGGTCCGGGGCGGAGCCCCGGCTGGGGAATACCCCCAACACTCGGGGTCCGGGGCGGAGCCCCGGCTGGGGAATACCCCCAACACTCGGGGTCCGGGGCGGAGCCCCGGCTGGGGAATGCCCCCAACACTCGGGGTCCGGGGCGGAGCCCCGGCTGGGGAATACCCCCAAACACTCGGGGTCCGTTAGGTTAGGTTAACATTGCTTCTTTCTGGGGAGGTTAGGTTAGGTTTTATAGGTTTGTCTGCATGCCCCCTAATACCCGGCTGCGGAGCCCCGGCTGGGGAATCCCCCCCCCCCCCAACATTCGGGGGGGGGGGGGGGGCTGGATATGTATACACAAGTGACGAACATACTCGGCAAACGTGATAATACCACAAACAGATAAAATGACGTAGCGATAATCTCGAAAACATAGATAAAATTACAGATTTTCGACTTGTTTACTCAGCTGTCGAGTACGTTTCCGTATTCTCGAATGCAAACAAAAGACGACCAACAATAATATACGCACAATAACAGTGATTTCTTATGAAATAATTGATTTAGTCTAATTTAAAATATGGTATTTTTATGATTTTTAGAAATATAAGCGATCGGTCTCTATATACGTAAAACCGCATTTGCGATGGATACGATAGCCAGATTCAACCTAACCAAAACAATAGAAATCGAACGAATCTAGTCTCGCCGTCGAAGGTAGTGTTTACGCTTTTTTCCAAATTTACCGCTTTATCTCGTTCACTTGGGGATTTTGAAATTTGATCTTAATCATCTGTTTATTGGCTTCAATGGGTTTAATTTCCTCTGGGTGGATTGGCTGCTCCCGTTTGACATTTGGCGTTTAAAGGGA